AACCACACGGTGGGAAACACAACTGAACCACTATGGTGGGCTGGCCCAAACGGGAGAAACCACAACTGGCTATTGTGGTGCCTTTACCGAAGTTTGGACATGCTCTGTAGAAAACTCATAGTACAGCCTTGAGGCTTCAGCACCAAAGCTGGAGAATGGTTTAGGGTTTAGGGTTTAGGGCTTGGGGTTTAGGGCTTAGGAATTAGGGTGGAGAATGGTGGTTGTGATTCGTCCCTTCTCTTTGCGCCCGAACACGAATGAGGACTTAACATGTGAATCTCGGCGTGTATGCTTTCGGTCATGTAGGTACGACAAGCATGTAGGCACTACTCAACAGGAAACCCCTAAACCCCAAACCCCAAACCCCAAACCCTAAACCCTAAATCTAACCCCGACAAATTCGTTTAAAGCAAGCGAAGACGGCAGAGTCCGACACCTGAAACCCTCCCAAAAGTCACCCCCGCACCCGCCCGGCACCTGGCGGAGACCCTCGGCTACAGCAGCAAGCTGTATCGACGCGTTTGCCAGGGCTGAGGGAGCCCCTGCATGCGCTTTTAGGTTTGGGTTTTCGAGCTTGGGGGTTTGCCTTGAACTCCGATCGTTGAGGGTTTAGGGCTTAGGGCTTGGACGCTTCGGGCGCAAGAGTATCAAGGCGAAACTCCTCGTCTTGTCGTTTTGCACTATACCAACAATGCTGCCTCGTTTCTGTGATTCGCAACCCCTTACTTACTCCAACACTAACCAAAACCCATAACGAATTCCTTCACCCCAAACCCCGAGCTTCGAATCAAACAGCTCTGCGACAAACGAACACATGAGCACACTAGTATGTGTAGGAAATGATAGATAGAAAGAAGGAAGTTAGCTAGCTAGCTAGCTAGCTAGCTAGCTAGTTAGTTAGTTAGTTAGTTAGTTAGTTAGTTAGTTAGTTAGTTGGCTNNAGTTAGCTAGTTAGCTAGTTAGCTAGATAGCTAGATAAATAAGTAAATAGATAGACAGATAAACAGATGGACAGCCAGCAAACAGTTAGATCGGAACAGATAGGCAGATAAATAGATGGATGAATAACAAATGGACAGATGGACAAACTGACAGATAGGAGAGAGGTAGATGGGTAGATAGGTACGTAGGTAGACATATAAAGACACACACACAAAGACAAAACTTCTTCGGAGAGGACTCTCTCTCTCTCTCTCTCTATGTGTGTGTATATACATAAATGCTTTCGTTTATCTAGTTGTCTACACATCAGGGCTTAGGATGGGTGGGTGGGTGGGTGGGTGGGTGGGTGGGTGGGTGGGTGGGTGGGTGGGTGGGTGGGTGGGTGTTACAGACTATACATACACCTGCGCGTTGCGAACGTATCTAAAACAATTCTGTCCGCTTGAACCCCACAACTCTAAACCCCTAAAAACCGTAAATCCCTAAACCCGGAACCTTGTAGCCCGGTAGCCTTAAAACATTCAAGCTCTAAACCCTTAACACCACAAACCCGAATATCCTAAAACCACAAACCGCGACACACTAAAACCCGAAAGCCATGTTCCTGAACGCTAAAACCTAAATGTCGGAAAATCCTAGACTTCCTAAACGTTTAAACCCGAAAACCCTGAACCCTAAAACCCTAAACTCTACAACCCTCACCACTATACCCCAAAGCCCGAAACCCTCACAGATCTCTTAAAAGGTACTCCGAAACGATCTCTTGAAGGGAATACCTTATCCTAAACCCTAAACCCTAAGCCCTAAACCCTAAACCCTAGACCCTAAACCCTAAACTCTAGGCCCCAGGCTTAGCTTCGAGGACCCCGTCAACTCGGCGCTGAGACGCCGGAGTTCCTTGGGTTTAGGGTTTAGGGTTTGGGGTTTAGGGTTTAGGGTTTAGGGTTAAGGGTGTAGCGTTTAGGGTTTAGGGTTTAGGGTCAGGGTTTACGGTTTAGGGTTTACGGTTTAGGGTTTAGGGTTTAGGGTTTACGGTTTAGGGGTTTGGGGGAGACTTTCAGGGATTATCCCTTTACTGTAGTATATAGCGTTGTGTAGGGTCGCTTGAAAAGGTACTACAACCGGACTCAGGGCACAATAATAAGGTTTATGAGACTGGATTTAGGGCTTGGGGTTTGGGGTTTGGGGTTTAGCAGTTTAGGGTTTAGGGTTTAGGGGTTTAGGGTTTAGGAGTTTGTTTGGGGGGTCTAGGTTGAAGAGAGGAGCGAGGTTTATGTTTGATAATTTGTTGCTGGGTTTGTTTTGGAAGTTTGCTGGTTTTGCTTGCTGTTCTTGTGGTTTTCGGAACATGGGCCCCTGGTCCTGCCTGTCCTCCTCGTCTGCTTGGAATTTGTGTTGTGTATCTTTGTTGGTTGTGCTTGTTGACTTTTCGGACTTTAGGCTTCCACAGGCGTTCTGTCTTTCTGTCTTTCTTTCTGGCTCTCGCCTTGCTTCCTTCCTTCCTTCCTTCGTTCCTTCCTTCCTTCATTCCTTTGCTTCTGTCTTTCTTTCTGTAAGTAATTTCTTCCTTCTCCTGCTATTGATGCCTCTTTATTTCTTACGTTGTTCCTTTGGTCCTTCCTTCATACCTGTCGTTCCTTCTTTCCTGACATTCCTTCTTTCTTTCTGCGGTCCTTCCTTTCTTTCTTTCCGACGTGACTTTCTCTCCTTAGTCCCAAAAACCCAAACAAAACGGGAAAAAATCCATGGAATAAACCAGAAAGTTGACAAACGAAATACGGTACCCGAGAAGAGACCAGTGTGTAGTAATTTGGGTTTCATTCTGGAAACTCTTCCCAACGAGGGCCGGGAAACTCGAACAAGCTGCTACAGCAATAAACTGGACTTCGGATTCGGTAAACCCGAATGTAGGGGCTGTAGTGGTTTAGGGTTCAGGGCTCAGGGTTTAGGGTTTAGGGCCTTAATAATTAGAGTAGGGTTTGGGCTCCTTTATAGTATAACTATAACAAGGAACCCTAAGGAGATTCTATTGGTAATTCTTAGGTTTCTATATTAAACCCCAAACCCTAAACCCTTGGATCATCGAAATAGCACACAGCGCGGCAAAGCCCTAGAAAGCATTATATAACCAAAACCGCAAGGGTTTAGGGTATGGGGGTTTAGGGTTTAGGGCTACCCCGATCCCAAAGCCAGGACTGAAACCTCAAAGATCTGGAGGATAACCCAGACCGACCCAGACCGTTCTGATTCTGTGCAGTCTTGCCACTGATCCCCAGGGTGTCGCCTCACGAGGCTTTCGGGATCTTGGGTTTGGTTTTGATGTCTACTTGGAGGATCAGGGGGGGCTAAGTAAGTTAGGGTATAAGTACCTTAATTGGGGCTATAAGTCGTTAGAAGTATGGTTACCTTGCTTATAATTCTAGTCTCTAAAGTCCCGTAGCCCTCTAAGTATGAGTCTTTGTGCTGTATGCTCTTGCCCGTTTAGGGTTTTGCGGGTGTAGGCAGTCGTCCAAGCACTGTCGCTCAATAAACCCATAATTAAACACTAAACCCTAAACCCTAAACTCTAAACCTTAAAGCCTAAAACCTAAACACAAACCTCTAAACCATCGAAGGAACCCAGTTCTAACGAACATACACCCGTACATTTACCCGGTGGGGCCCTCGGAATCTTCGGAGCTCTAATTGAGAATTTAAGTCCCAGGGGTTGAGGGAACAGGAGCTTTAGGACTTTAGGGCTTTAGGGTTTAGGGTTCAGGCTTTATGCTTTAGGGCGTTCAGGGTTTAGGCTTTAGGGCTGTAGGGTTTAGAGTTTAGGGTTTAGGGTTCAAGGCTTAGGGCTTAGGGTTTAGGGCTTTAGGGGTTAGGCTTTAGGGTTTAGGCTTTAGGGATTTAGCGATTAGGGTGTAGGCTTTAGGGTTTAGCGTTTAGGGGGTTAGGCTTTACGATTTAGCGTGTAGGGTTTAGGCTTTAGGGTTTAGCGTTTAGGGTTTAGGCTTTGGTTTAGGGCTTTAGGGCTTTGGGTTTAGGGTTTATGGGGCTGTAGGGCTTTAGGGCTTTACGACTTAGGCCCGAGTTCGCCTGGACACGCAAAAGGACGGCGTTCAAGGTCTCCTTGATGTTCTCGGTTTAGGGTTTAGGGTTTAGGGTTTAGGGTTTAGGGTTTAGGGTGTGCTGCCAGTTCCTGAGACATCTGACTTGGCACCACGCTTTCCACCTCCCCTGATGGACAGAGATATCGTGAAGGTAGTGTTGTTTGCGACCTTGAAACCGAGCAATGTTCGGATCGTCGGGGATGCTCACTCACCGTTGTGTCACCAAACCTTAGCATGACGTCTTTCTTGTCCTTCTTGCGCATACCCCACTTCTTTATAATCTCCTTGAGGAACTCGCCGATGGTGGTGTTTCTTGGCATGGTAAAGGTCTCCGTCCAACCGAACTTCACGAAGACTGTGATGTTGAGCTCACGGTAGTCCTTCGCCTCGTTTCTTCTCGTGGTTCTCCCGCTCTTTGGCAAGTTTCTCCTTCTATTTTCATCTCTGACTGGGGCCTTGGGTTTTAGAGTTCAGGGGTGCTTTGGCTTCGGGCCTTTTGGTTCAGGGGGTTTGGGTTTAGGGTTTACCGCCTTAGGGGTTTCAATTAAATATCGACAAAGCCACTTCAGGCCCGACGTGCAAGGATCAGGGAAAGAGCCTTGAACTCCCACAGCCTGAAAAATCTCATAAACCCTAAACCCTAAACCCTCACCCTAAACCCTCAACCCTAAACCCTCAACCCTAAACCCTTACCCTCCCCCTAACCCTTAACTCTCAACCCTAACCCTCAACCCTAAACCCTCAAACCCCAAACCCTAATCTTAAACCCTTACCCTCAACCCTAAACCCTTAATCCTCAACCCTACGCCGTCAACCCTAAACCCTTAAACCCTCAACCCTAAACCCTTACCAACAGCCCTAAACCCTAAATCCTCAACCCTTACCCTCAACCCTAAACCCCAAATCCTAAACCCTTACCCTCAGCCCTAAACCCCAAATCCTCAACCCTAAACCCTTAACCCTAAACCCCAAATCCTCAACCCTAAACCCTTAACCCTAAACCCCAAATCCTCAACCATAGCCCGTCAACCCTAAACCCCAAATCCTCAACCATAGCTGTCCAGCCACAGCCCCGAAGGCACGGCCACGAACACCAGGAAGTCCCAAAGACCAAAGCCTCCACACCTCTAAGCCCAAAACGGCTAGGGTTTAGGGTTTAGGGTTTAGGGTTTAGGGTTTAGGGTCTAGGGTTTAGGGTTTAGGGTTTAGGGTGATCCCGATAGATCTCTAAAGCGCCAAAACCCTACCAAAATCCCTGATCGATCTCTACGGCGCCAAAATCCTACCGAATCCCTGATAGATCTCTAAAGACTGCAAGGACCCCCAAACCCTAAACCCAAAGCCCTAAAAGGATCAACCCCCGAAAGTCCCAAAAGCCCCCGCACCTTGGTGCGCTCCGAAGCCACTAAGCACCGATCCGAAGCATCTTCCAACGTCACGTCCTGACAAGCCCAGCATTGGCTCTCATTAGGGTTTAGGGTTTAGGGTTTAGGGTTTAGGGTTTAGGGCTTAACGGATCATGGGACTTAGTAATTAAGGTGATTATCAGGATAACTATACTTATAACTACGTATAGCCCCAATTAAGGTACTTATAACCATACTTGCTAAGTCCCATGATCCGTTAAGCCCTAAACCCTAAACCCTAAACCCTAAACCCTAAACCCCTAAACCCCTAAACCCTAAACCCTAATGCAAGAAGGGTTTAGGGCTGAGGGCCCCGAGTTTCGGAGATTGGGGCCTGCAGGTTTTGGATTTGGGTTTGGGGAAGTTTGGGGTTTAGAGTTGAGAGTTTTGGGGTTTAGGGTTTGGGGTTGAGGGTTTAGGGTTTAGGGTTTAGGGTTTAGGGTTTAGGGTTTAGGGCTTGGGGCTTGCGGTTGTTCGTTTAGGGTTTTAGGGCTTAGGCTTAAGCTTTTGGGTTTGGGGCTTGGGGTTTGGGGTTTGAGGTGTGTGGGCAGAAGACTGCAGTACAGCAATACGAATTCACTCGCTGTCTCTCCGAGAGTCTACGTCCAAACAGGCAGGAGCGTGTAAACCCTAAACCCTAACCCTGAACCCTAACCCTGAACTCTCAACCCTATTTGATTTTGTTTGGGGGGGGGGAAGGCTGAGGGTTCGCTATAGTCTTCATTGAACCCCACCAAGGCAGAACTCTATGTCAAGACCACCACTTTCAAAGGCATTCGGTTTAGGGGTTCGGGTTTAGAGTTTAGGGCCCTGATTAATGAACCCGCCTTTCTTCATGAGGCTGGTACTAGGCCTCAGAAAATGCAGGCCCTGAAGGACACAAGGCTCGACCCATTTTATAGGGTTTAGGGTTTAGGGTTTAGGGGTCTAATCTAGAGGCCTTAACAGTTCAGTAGAAGAAGGCTTGGGGGAGGGAGGGGGGGAAGTGGGCAAAGTCTGCGTGTGCAGGAAAAATACGGAGATCCCAACTAAACCCTGAACCTCAAACCCTACCCCCTAAACTTCCTAAAACTTCCTAAACTTCCTAAACCCTAAACCCTAAACGCTAAACCCAAACCCTAAACTTCCTAAACACTAAACTTCCTAAACTCTGATCCCTAATCCTGACAGTCTGAAACTGCAAGCCCCTCTGAAGCCTTCGAGCCTGAACCTTATAAATCCTAAACCCATTAGTGTGATATAGGGGCCTTAATAAGTAGAATAGGGGTCCTTCAAAGGGTTCTGAAAAGGGTCTATAAGGGTTTCTATAACGTCTACTAGAAGGGTTCAGTATAGAGGCCTTAATAGTTCGAATAGGGTTTGGGGGGTATGTTATACAGTAGTTATAATAAGGAACCCCCAACAATAGTATTGGTATTTATTTAGGCCCCCATATTACTCAAATGGCGTGACCCGAGTACAAAACGGTAAACACAAGGATCCTTGTCCGGCACCCCTAATTCTCTCTGTGTGTGTATATGTATGTATGTATGTATGTATGTATGTATGTATGTATGTATGTCTGTATGTATGTATGTATGTATGTATGTATGTATGTATGCAGGTATGTAGGTATGTAGGTATATAGGTATGTA